GGAAGAGCCCAACCGAATTAATGCACTTTCAAAATAAAACCAAATGAATTCCATATAATGACAAAATGGCTGACACAATGTAACGGTTCGTTTTTCACAAATTCACGAGAGTGAATTTGCGTTTCTCGTTCAAAGAATGTGTTACCATTATACGTATATTATTATACCATTACACGTCAAAGAATGTGTTACCATTATATGCGTTATCATTATCGTCGTTGGCTGATTTGTAATAACTGATAAACTCAATTTTTCAAAATTTTTTACTTAGGCCACTTTTATAATTAACACTAAATGAACTCCATATAACGTCGAAATAACAACCACTATCTAATGGTTCATTTTTGACAATATCGTGAAAATTGCATTGAATTAATTTAGTTTAAAATAACGTGGTGTGAAATAACTGATTAACTCATCTTTTATTAAATTTTGACATTAGACCACTTTCATAATTATGGGCATATTTAAGAATAATTTTTGGTTTACTTTTCGTAATTCTATCACGAATTTCGCGTTTTTGTATTTGAGTTTCCATTACTGCTACGTAATACGTACTTAGTGCAGCAGTGAGATAATCCCTTTATCTTTCCGTGATAGCAATAGTGTTCCTTCAGATCGGCTTTCGCGCTTCCAAATTTAGGTTTTCTTGTCGTACTTGACAGGTATCTTCGATTCTGCAGAATTCTTTCCGAATAATTCCTGGGCCAACGACATGCTTGTACGAAATGTATCGACAAAGGTGTCATAATCTTGTGAATTAGGATTAGAATCTAATTATTTTTTATACGAATGTAACAGAATTGTTAGAGGTAATGGGAGGCCACGTTGTGCCAATCATGCTGTCATAAAACTACCATAGCACGGTCGAAATAAATATATGCAAGATGTACAGGTAGCCCTCCTACAACACGGCATCCTATAACACGGTTTCACCATAACATGATCCATAAATTGCGGGAACCTTCCTACAACACGGCATTCTATAACACGGTTTCTAACACAATAAGAAAATTGCAAAAACCTTTGTGCAACACTGTACTTCTACATGAGCAGTGACGACGAAGAAATTTATTAAATTAAAGTTGAATTAAATTAAAATAATATTTTTGTTGTTTTTTATTTTGTGCTGTACATATGTTTATATTTTTAATAAAAATTAAGTTTTTACGTAAAATTAAAAAAACATTGTTTTTAGTTAGTTTTCGGAACGTAACCCCCCTTTTTGTGCTGGCTCTGGGTCTCATACAACACGGTTTCACATAACACGGCATTTCCTAGGAACCTATCTACCGTGTTATAGGAGGGTTACCTGTATTACTATTATTATTGCCAATACATCGACACGAATCCTGCATTTCGTCGGTTTTTTCGGATTAACACTATGCCATCCGCACGTGTAATCAGGATTCTTTTCTTTGGCACCGGTAGCACTGGCTCGAATCAATTTACCCATCGTTGGAGATTTCTCGAGGTTTTCAGTGTGGATAGAAATGAACGCCAATATCTTCTACGTTTTTTAACAGTTAACGCATTAGTATATTTAGATAAAGATATTTAAATAATGAAAACAACTCGCAATAAACTATTTTAAACAAGAAAATTGATTGACAGTTTCTAGAAAATTCTTCTGTCTTCTCTCATTCTCATTCTTATTAACCCTTTGCACTCGACGACGTTTTGGTTAAAGAAGAATAGGAATTCAAAGATTTTCTGTTACAAAGCTGACGATATTTTTCTGAGTAGTGAATGAAATGTCGTATGATAATTAACCACTTGCGGTGGCAAGAAGTTCACAGACGCGTGTGCAAGAATGGTCCACTGTTTCTGTAACAATTGCCTAACGACGTGTGTACCACCACGTTCTGTGACAAAAGCATAAATAATTTTATTTATACAAAGAAAAGGTGAACCAAAACAGTCGGCGCAATATGTCGCCACTTTTCTAGTGCAATTCTTTGCTCTCATTCTTCCTAGCTGATTTGAATTATTTTCGTAGCACACTTTGCAAAATCGCCTTACATTTCGCACACTTCCAGGTTTCTTTTTAAATTCGTGACGACGTTTTTTCTGCACGTAATTGCTCGATGAAATGCAATCTTCGTCATCGGAACATTTCACTATATACATCGCTAACTTCATCCTAAAATCGGGAATTGAAATATTTTCTCGAGTTGCTTTTTAAACAATTTGATAATGGCAAAAATGGTCTACAGCGCCGCGGGGGTCACCGGTGACCCCCACCACGAAAAATACATTAAACCCGATTATACAACTCACCTTATCTGTTGTAAATAACATTTCAACATAATATGCATCGCATAATAAAATATTCATGTTGGCGCCATGGGTAAACCACGTAAAATGCGCGTGGCAGTCAACGTGTTAATGAATATCGAGCTTCGAAATTTTATCAAATGGCGACTGAAGGGCGCCTCTCGAGCGTAAAGGGTTAACTGTTACACACCCATATTTCCTCTTTCACGATTCTCACCTAACTATTTTATTCATTTCTTCTAAATATTTTTTCAAACATCATTCATACTAGACTGCACTCGTACATATTTATATTTATATCATCGCAAATGAATCTCACTTATTCAATCTCATTCGCATTCACACATATAAAACCAACACTCACATTCGGGAGGACATGAAACGTCAAGTTTTACTAATCCCAGTTCGCAATCCTATCCCTCCATTTTCAGAAAATTTCGAGGCTATATGTAAATAAATGTAAGATTTTTGTATTATATGTATACTTTATATTCTATTTCTTCAGAATCGTCAAATTCAATTGGATTGGAATTCAATTAACCCTCTATGGGCCCCTGTAACTTTCAAGTTACATGCTAATATATGGGTATTTTATTAAATACTGCATTCAACGTTATCGCTTGATCACTCCAGTTCGCAATTTTTCTTTCGATATATTTATAATTATTTTTACAATACCTCCCGTGCGTCTATTTTTAAAAATTCTAATTCTTTTTCATTTACCGGTTATTCGATCATGATAGGTTAGGTCCTCTATGGCCCCCTATGACCTATTTTCCACAAGATGTCGTGGAAAATTATCTTGTCTATCTATTGCACATTATCTTGGCACAATAGTACAAACGTTGTTAATTCAAACTTTCAATATGAATTCGTTATAACAAAATTGTCAAAACTGCTGAATTTATTGGTCGATATTTGTTGATTTTATGTTACATATAATTCTTATAGTCAGGAAAAATATATATTCGGTCCATGGAGGGTTAAACGTCAGATAATTTCAGAATGTCAGATCTTTTCCTTCGTTTGCCACTATTAAAAGGCACAATTATGAAAACGCAAAATTCGCTAATATGATATCGTATTGTAGCCTGTAACTTATTGTTCCTTGAACAGAGCATGAGCGATACTGCCACTCGTGCTAGACCACCGATGTGGTGTCACCGGCATTTCTTCGATAGCTTCGCACATGACACCAATGTGGTGTCACCGGCATTTGTTCGATTATTTTCACGGGGCACCAACGTGGTGCCATCGGACGGCATAGTGTTAACCACTTGCGGTGGCAAGGAATTCACAGACGCGTGTGCCAGAACGATTTATGTAACAATTGCCTAACGACGTGTGTACCACGTCGTTGGCGATTCTGTGACAAAAGCATTACGACGTGCGTGACACGTGGTTAGCTATTTTGTGACAAAAGCATTACGACGTGCGTGACACGTGGTTGGCGATTCTGTGACAAAAGCATTACGACGTGCGTGACACGTC